CGCGCCCCCAACTCTGGCCCCATCCACCTTCTGTGCACCAGTCCTTTAGGAGGGTCTCTGTTCCCGAAGGGAAATTGGAGTCACTTCTTTTTTAACCCTTTAAGTGTCCGGGGCAGCCTTAGTTTTCTCTGGGGCTCGTAAGAGGAAAGTTTATTGGTCTCAATTAGCAACCCCATTAAAGAGGAAAATTAGAGTCTTAATGAGCTTCCTCTGATTAGCCAAATAACAGGTTTCCCAGTCTTGCTTCTCAGCCTCTGGGCATTGGAGGTGTGGGGTGAGAACTTCTCTCCCCTATGGGTTCAGATACCTCTCCAGCCCCCAGTCTGGGTTCAAAGGGTTAAGACTGATGAGTTTTTAATTACGCTCTTAAATACATCTACCTACTTAGTTGTGATCTTGAGATCTGGAGCAGCAACCAGGCCTGCAGGGGAAGGGGGACAGTGTGAACTGCTGCCCAGAAAAATAGAGTGGTAGGGCACTGAGGTTCGCATGGGGGAGCATCGAGGTTCGCAGGGAATAAAGAAAAGTCAGCTCCCATTGTGTGCTCATCTCTCTCTTTCCCCCAGGGTCCCTGGAACCCCTGTCAGTCCTGAGCTCTGGGATGGAGCCTGAGACGGTGCTGTGGGGCCCAGATCTGCAGGGTCCTGAACAGAGCCCCAGCGATGCTCACAGAGGTGAGGGACACAAGAAGGGACTGTGGTCCTGACAAGACAGTGGCCCCGGTACAGGGAGGGGCCCAGACTCTGGGGGAAACCCCGGGGAGGGAAGAGAGACCAGACCCCGTTTTCTGAAAGGAGATGGGGGCTGGAGACTCCCTTTCTCTCTGTAGGTGCCGAGAGTGGGAATGAAAAGCAGGAAAGTTCTGGGGAGGAGATCATCCTGGGAGATCCAGCTCAGAGTCCAGAATTCAAGGACCCACCAGAGATGCCTCTGGAGAGACCCTCTCAGGATCCCTCAGCCCCCCAGGACCCTCCATCCTCAGTGGGTCACTCCAACTCCTCGGACCACCAGACCCCTCTGGATCCCCCAGCCCCCGAGGTAGTCCCGACCCCATCTGACTGGACCAAGGCCTGTGAGGCCAGCTGGCAGTGGGGGACTCTCACCACATGGAACAGCCCCCCTGTGGTCCCCGCCAATGAGCCCAGCCTGAGGGAACTGGTGCAGGGTCGCCCCTCTGGGGCAGAGAAGCCCTACATATGCAATGAGTGCGGCAAGAGCTTCAGCCAGTGGTCCAAGCTGCTGCGGCACCAGCGCATCCACACCGGTGAGCGGCCCAACACCTGCTCGGAGTGCGGCAAGAGCTTCACACAGAGCTCGCACCTGGTGCAGCACCAGCGCACACACACGGGCGAGAAGCCCTACAAGTGCCCCGACTGCGGCAAGTGCTTCAGCTGGAGCTCCAATCTGGTGCAGCACCAGCGCACGCACACGGGCGAGAAGCCCTACAAGTGCACTGAGTGTGAGAAGGCCTTCACCCAGAGCACCAACCTCATCAAGCACCAGCGGTCCCACACTGGCGAGAAGCCCTACAAGTGTGGCGAGTGCCGGCGGGCTTTCTACCGCAGCTCAGACCTCATCCAGCACCAGGCCACTCACACGGGCGAGAAGCCTTATAAGTGCCCTGAGTGTGGCAAGCGCTTCGGCCAGAACCACAACCTCCTCAAACACCAGAAGATCCACGCCGGGGAGAAGCCGTACCGCTGCACCGAGTGCGGCAAGAGCTTCATCCAGAGCTCGGAACTGACCCAGCACCAGCGCACGCACACCGGTGAGAAGCCCTATGAGTGCCTCGAATGCGGCAAGAGCTTCGGCCACAGTTCCACCCTCATCAAGCACCAGCGGACTCACCTGCGTGAGGACCCCTTCAAGTGCCCTGTGTGCGGCAAGACCTTCACCCTGAGTGCCACGCTGCTGCGGCACCAGCGCACACACACAGGCGAACGGCCCTACAAATGCCCTGAGTGCGGCAAGAGCTTTAGTGTCAGCTCCAACCTCATAAATCACCAGCGCATCCACCGAGGCGAGCGGCCCTACATCTGTGCCGACTGTGGCAAGAGCTTCATCATGAGCTCCACCCTCATCCGCCACCAGCGCATCCACACGGGCGAGAAGCCCTACAAGTGCTCCGACTGCGGCAAGAGCTTCATCATGAGCTCCACCCTCATCCGCCACCAGCGCATCCACACGGGCGAGAAGCCCTACAAGTGCTCCGACTGCGGCAAGAGCTTCATCCGCAGCTCCCACCTGATCCAGCACCGACGCACCCACACAGGCGAGAAGCCTTACAAGTGCCCCGAGTGCGGCAAGAGCTTCAGCCAGAGCTCGAACCTCATCACCCATGTCCGCACCCACATGGATGAGAACCTCTTCGTGTGCTCCGACTGTGGGAAGGCCTTCCTGGAGGCACATGAGCTGGAGCAGCACCGAGTGATCCATGAGAGGGGGAAGACCCCAGCCCGAAGAGCTCAGGGTGACACCTTGCTGGGGTTGGGAGATTCAGCCCTGCTGACCCCACCGCCTGGAGCCAAACCACACAAGTGTCTGGTCTGCGGAAAGGGCTTCAATGACGAGGGCATCTTCATGCAGCATCAGAGGATCCATATTGGAGAAAACCCCTACAAAAATGCAGACGGTCTCATCAACGCTCCAGCCCCCAAACCTCCTCAGTTCCGACCTCCAAGGCTCCCCTTTGGAGGAAATTCCCACCCAGGTGCTGCAGAGGGCAGAGCTGACTCCTCAGGACAGCCCTTTAAAACGCCTGATGGCCAGGAGAGCTTCAGCCAGAGGCTGGGGCTGCTCTCCTCCAAGTCCTACATTTGTTCCCACTGTGGAGAGAGCTTCTTGGATCGCTCTGTGCTCCTCCAGCATCAGCTCACCCACGGCAACGAAAAGCCCTTTCTTTTTCCTGATTATAGGATTGGCCTAGGGGAAGGGGCAGGGCCCAGTCCCTTCCTAAGTGGAAAGCCCTTTAAATGCCCTGAATGCAAAAAAAGCTTTGGCCTCAGCTCTGAGCTGCTGCTGCACCAGAAGGTTCACGCAGGTGGGAAATCCCAGAAGAGTCCAGAGCTGGGGAAGAGCTCCTCTGTCCTCCTGGAACACCTCAGGAGCCCCCTGGGGGCCAGGCCCTATAGCTGCTCAGATTGTGGGGCCTCCTTCCTGGATCGCCTGGCCCTCGTCCGGCATCAGGAAACACACACCCAAGAAAAGTCCCCCAACCCTGAGGACCCCCTTCCAGAGCCAGCCACCCTGTCCATAAGCCAGGAAGATGAGGGGGAGGCCCCTACTCCCACAGGAAGCAGCAGCCACAAGGATGGGGAAAAACCCAAATCCCTCCTGGAGGAAAAGCCCTATCTGTGCCCCGAGTGTGGAGATGGCTTCACAGAAGTGGCAGCCCTCCTCCTTCATAGGAGCTGCCACCCAGGTGTCTCCCTGTGAAATAAGTCTGGAGACCAGGGGCCTCTCTCACCTGAGAGGGACACTGGATACCCCCCACATTGTGTGGGGAATGGAGGACAACCCTATCAGATTGTAGAGAAGTAGAAGATAACCCTGGCGAAAAATAGTGCTTTTACATCAGTGTTGAGAAAACCTATAAATTTGTTGGTGGGAACCACTTATAAGGCAGTAGAGAAAAACTGTTGGGTTAGAAACCCTATAAATATGTAGGAAACAAACAAAGCCCTTTAAGTCTGTAGCAGAAAAACCCTATAAACCATAGTGGATAAAAGCCCTATTAATTGTAGGAAGAGGTCCCAATATGTCTCTAGACAACCCTATAAAACTGTATCAAAATCTTATAGGGTCGGGGAAGTGCAGGGAATCCAGTGACGGCATAGACCTGGGAGAAGTGGCCCCAGGAAGGTGCAGAGAATGCTCCGGTGCGTGAATTCCACGGCGTTCCCTCCCACAGGAGTGTGGGAAGGAGCTCCCTGCAGCCCTGGACAGTTACACTGAGGAGGATGCTTGCTGGGGAGGAGTGGGAACTGGGTGCAACTGGATAACGAAGGAAACAGAGGAGCAAAATAAATGAGAAGCCCTCAAACCCACAGGAGAGGCAAGATAGAGACTAGGAAGAGAAAGCAGCTCATTGCACTGGGGGTTCCTTGAGGTCCAAAGCCAACCTCAGATGTATTGTGTGCATTAGGGGAAGAGGCTCATAGAACCCCTTATAAAAAGAACCCCAAAATGGGAAAGGAAAAAATTCTGTCAAGCTTCCTTAAAGGCTGAGCTTTGGAGTGCATAAAACCTTTGGAGTATAAGAATACTGAGAAACCACCACAAACTTTAGGGGGAGGGGAGGTTCTGTTAGATTGCTTTGAGGTAGCAAAGCAAGGTGGAAACACTTCAGATGGGACCCAGCAGACTCCAGGCCAGCCTCCCTGTGTCCAGGAGCTTATCAAACTGCAAGCATAAGCAGATCCCAGCTCAGGCCGCCAGGCAGGACTACCCTTCCCCACTTCAACTTCGAGGCCTCCAGGGTGGAGGGTGCCTCCTGCCACATTCTCAGGTCTCACCGTCAGGAGGTTTTTCCTGAAATCTGACTGCCACCAGTCTTGCTGCAGTGGCAGCCCATTTCCTCGAATTCTGTCCTCAATGGAGAGGGAGAACTGCTGCTAGTTGACCTCCAAAGAATAAAGCCCTTCAGAGACTAAAGGCCCGTGTGTGGTTGTCCTCCCTAGACAGATTCTCTTCAAGTCAGCAAGAGCCATGTGTGGGTTCCCTGCAGTAACAAGGGACAGCAAGTTGACAGCTTTGGTTAGCCAGCAACCCACCTTTAAACCTCAGCCTTTCATCTGAGCTGGTAGCAAGGCTGTGTGCAAGATGAGCCAGCCCACACGCAGTGGCGGATATGCACATACCCTAGACTGGACCATAGGTCCCTGAAGAGCCCCCGGAGTTCTGGCCATCATCCTCACCCTTGTACCTGGAGTCCTCTGAGGTGGCGAGGAGCCAACCTCATGTCATACTTGGGAAAGGATGGATTCCACCCACGTGGTTCTTCTCTTCTCCTTAGCCAGAAATCTTCAGAGGGAAACAGAAGGAAGAGATGTGTTCCTGTGCCAGGCCCATCTCTCCTCACTCCACACAGTTACACACTCATGAACCCAACCAGACCTGCTCCTGTGACTGGCTGTGTGGCTCAGAAGACTTGCCCAATAAAACAGTAGAAGAGAGAAAAATGTTGCAAGAAACATCAGTGATGAGAATCCAACCCTCTAGCCCTGGAGACCTTTGAGAGGACTCTACTCAGTATTGGGTCAGAAAGGAAGTACTCACTGACCCCGTGCTGGCACCAGTAATGCAGTATCCTGGAGTAAGAGGACAGACGCCAGGTTGAGGTGGCCATTCAGGAGTTGTATCCCCAGAGGGGTGACCTGGATTCCTACAGAGTTGTGGAAGAGACCTCTAATTCCATGATCTGAAAGTTCAAAAGGTGAAAATCCTTGACCCTTCATCTATCCTGTCCCCAAAGGGATGACCCTGAAATTTAAAAGGATCAAAATTAGAACATTGTGGTAGAAAACTCCCAGGCCTGCTGGGGAGAGGAAAAGGCAGGCCTTATATGATTGTGGGGAGAACCTTGTACTTATCTGCATAAAGCCCCACCCCACCCAAGTGCCAGGTAGGAAAGCACTACTGAGAGGGAGGAGCCTGCCTGCCGACCTCATTGATGGAAAATGTTCACAAAGGGGGTGTCCCTGTAAGACTAAGAAGAGGAGATAAATCCTCCAAGTCTAAGCAGATTGTTCCCCCCTCTAAGATGGTAGCAGAAAGAAACTTAAGTTGTAGAGACAAAACCCTTGTAAAGCTAGACGCGAATTCCCTCAGAAACAGGTCTGAGGATTCTGTCTCCAGAAAAAAAGAGTCCTGGGGACTCTTTAGGGGCTTTGGGGGCTGAGGCCAGGTTAGGGGAAGTGGTCAGAGTAGTTGAAGGCCAACTGTAGGCCTGTGAGGACTAGGATATAGCATATGTAGTAGGATGCTCGCATGTTGTAGGGATGGGTAAGGGCTAAGAGTCTTGACTCTGGTACTGAATGGATGATGTGGACACATTTGTTGGGGGTCTGGGGTTTCCTAGTAGGAAAGGGGCAGTGTCACAGACCTCTAGGATGTGGCCTGTTTTCTCTTGCCCACCTCCCCAAATTGTTTTAGCCAGGTGCTCCCCTCCCATCTTGGGAGGAAGTGAGCAGAGAGATGGCAGTGTCCAGAGTCCCTCTGACCGGCTCAGGCAAAGGCCCAGGGGTCGGGCACTTGCTAACCAAAACCGAGTCTGGAAGGCAGAGTGTAGCCAAACCCTCTTATTCAACTCCTTGCAGACCCAGACCCCTCAGGTGGGCCCTAGTGGAAGAGTCCGGTGAACAGGGTCAGAGAGTCCTCAGTGAAGACAGAGGGAAGAGTAGAAACTGATCTGAGCTTAGGGTGAAACTTGAAACTGCTGTGGATTTGGAGGTCAGACGGGAACTCAAAAGAACTGGGCATGAATCCTGAATGGTGGGGAAACTTGAAACCATCACAACCAAGAGGTGGGGTTCCATGACACCCTGAGGTGAGCAGCTCCCAGACTCATTTGCCCCCATTAGGGAAGCCCCACTCACCTGACTTGTCCCCATGGAGTGAAGATAGGCCCCACTTTTGAGTGTTGTATGTCAATAACAGTGTTGTGTCACCGGTGGTCATGTCGATTAGTTGAAGAGAATAAAGGGAATAAGATTTCCCAGGTGTTTTTGTCTTCTCTTTCAGCCTAGAGCAAGCTGAAAGAGCTTGTCTTCTCCCAAAGCCAGAGCCCAGAGTAACATCAAAAGCCCTACCCATTCCCAGGCTTACCCCTTATCCAAGGGCCCTAAAATCCCCAACCAGTGCTTGCTTGTGGAAAGCTGAGGGGTTGATGAAGTCTGAAAATCCATACCCTTGGGGGGAGGGGGAGAAATCTGATGAGATACTGGAGAGCCAAGTAGCTCTTGGTACCTGGCTTCGACACCAGCTCAGGCCCAGCATTGCAGCCCCAGGGAGGCCTCTCTGGCCACAACACCCACACCCTCCCCAGGGTGCCACAGGGGGAAAGCAGCTAGGATCTAGTTCCAGAAGCTGGCACCACAGTTCCTGGCTCCCCTGGATCCTGGGTCCAATTTCGCTCCTCCTCTGGACCAGGCCCTCCTAGACTCGAAGGAGAGGTGGGCAAAGAGTTGGCCTGTCATCTCCCTCAGGATGTCAGCCCCAGAGGCTCAGAGAAAGGCAGCCACTTGCCCAAGATCTGAACAAATCAGTGAGGGAAACCAGAATGGCCAGGAGCTCAAACAGGCCCTGTACCCAGGCCTTTCCACTCCCTTGCTGGGCCTGGCCTTGGCTCCACAGTCTGGGACAGGAGTCCTCCATGGGAGACTTGCCTCAGTGCTGTATCTCCTGGGCCTAGGCCTGGCCGTGGCCCCTGAGTAGCTGCCTGGGATCAGTACTTGTTCTAGCCTGTGATTTGCCATTGCCCATCTGCCAGCGGATCCCTGCCCCAGCCAGGAAGGTGTCTCCACACATCCCCATGCCTCTCTGACCCAGACCCCAAGGCAAGCTCATTCTCCTTTCTTTTTTCTGAGTAGACAGGGAGTGAGGGGGTGGGAGGAGAGACTTGCCTTTCATGGAGAAATCAGTAATGAAGATTACTCCATTTCCCTTTATTCCAACCCCTGGCGACACAATATTAGGACTGGTCCCAGGGCTGGAGGAGTTCTCAGTAAAATGAGGAAAATACAGAAAGGATAGGCATTGGAGCACAGTGGTTGGTTCAAAGACATAGCAGAGGGGCTATGGACCTAGAGGTGGTACCTGCCACAGCCAAGGACCAGGCTGGACAAAGTGACCCAAAGGGTGAGGGTTGTAGGAACAGAATAGTAATGTGTAGAGGCTGGGATTCGGGATGGAGGGATAGAGGATGCAAAGCAGGCATGGACTTGGAGTGTAGAAAGGAGACAGAGAAGGTTCAGCTAGCGAGCAGAGGCCAGAGTGCAGAGCATCTTATCTGAAGAACTTGGGGAAGGGGTGCCTTTGGGGGGTCTTTTGAAAATGACGAGATCCTCTCTCACCCCATGACTAGTGCTGATTTCTCGGGTCTGGGGTTCCAGAACTGGGCTGGAGGAGTTGAGTCTTAGCACAGCTATAGCCATGGCCACGGATACACACGCCAGGGAGAGTGACAGGCAGAGAGGGTCTGGAGGGGTGGAGGAAGAGGACCAGTGGAAGGTAGTATGTGGAAAGCCAGGAGAGAGCAGCCATCACAGGACCAGAGGAGTTTCAATGCCAAAGCCTCCCCTGGTCAGTCACAGGCAACAGCCCTAGTTCTGGCTCAAGCAGGCACATCCACCACTAATGGCAACATCTGCTTACCTCCAAGAAGACAAGCAAGGTCAGGATTGGCCCAGAGGCAGTTGTGGTCTAGGGTACCACAGCCACCAAGATCACAGGGCAGTAAAGGGTGAGACCTGAGTGGAGGGGTCTAACCAGGCAATAAAACAGATCCTCCTAGCACGGACTGGCTCGTGGCGAACCAACGATGAGTTTACTCGGTTTCTGAAGCTTCAGTGTCCCCTGCTCCCCACAGATTTGGGAATCGTTATCCCGTTCCCTGGGGCTTGACAAAGTGGTTTGATGCCTACGTTGCTATTAGGTATAAGGACCCAGTTTTAGTCCCTCTGATATGCAGATGGGGTTTTAGGAACGGTATCTGGGGAGGTGATGTGCAGGTACTTGCATTTACCTAAGGAGCCCAGGGGGAGGTGACCCTGTGAAAGACCTTGCTCAGAGGACTGGCTGACCTCTGCCCGCGCCCCAGGTGCAGCATTCCCGAGACTGGTCAGCTCTACCGGTGCAGGTGGCAGCGTCTCTATGATGCAACATCCTGCGCTTTCCCACCCTGCTTCCGCTGACCCCGGCCGCGGAAACTTCCTCAGCGGCTCCGCTGCCTG